CCTTCCGCCTCAGCCTTCCAAGTAGCTGGAACTACAGGCACGTGCTACCACGCCCGGCTCGTTTTTTGATTTATTGTAGAGATGAGGTCTCGCTTGCCCAGGCAGGTCTTGAACCCGCGGGCTCAGGCAATCCACTCACCTCGGCCTCCCAAGGCGCGGGATTACAGGCTGAGCCACCAAGCCCAGCCTGCATTAGAGGTTTTTAGGGGACATGGATGTGCCTTTTGGGGTCACCACCCAGCACCTACAGAGCATCATACAAATGTGACCTGTGCCACTTTCTTAGGGGATAGCTGGGCCCTCCTCCAGGCCAGGTACTCAGGGCACAGGGTCCCAGGCCTAAACAAGGAAGCAGCCCAGCCGGGGTATCTATCAGGAGGAAACAGTCCCTTCTCACAGGCTGCAATTCCACAGGGCCCTAGGGCAGCGTGGCCTGTGGCTTCTTCCCTGGTCACAGTAGACAACCCCGTGCCCGCCTGCACCACCGGAAAGCTTCTGGCAAGGGCTGAGACCTGAGCCATCCTGCTGTCTGGCCCCACTCTGACCTGGCCTATCTCTGATCCTGTTTCAGTACGGAAGCCGCGCTATGTCAGGCGGGAGCGGCCCCTGGACAGGCCCGCAGACCCTGCAGCCTTCTCGGTGGAGGCCCGCGTCAGCAACGTTTGACCTGGAGGCCCGAGACCACACTGGCTGCCAACCGGAGCCTAGAGGCTGCCCCCTCAGAGGGAGCCTGGCACACAGTCGGCCCCGCCTGGGCCCCAGACAGGCCTGGACATGGCCCCGGCTCTGGGCTGTCTGTCTCCCAGCGACAGGTGCTGACCGGGGTCTCCTTCCCACCATGGTGGGTTGGTTTAACAGGCCAGGAGCAGGACCTGGGTTTGAGGACCCAGCCAGAACCAGGATAGCCTGTGGGGCCAGCAGGGTGTTGTAGGCCTTGAAAAGCTCTGGGAGGGAGTGCTCTTCCCGCCCTGGAGTTCGTGGTGGGTAGGACTGCTCCAGCAGCACCAGGCCCAGAGCCCCCAGGCCCCTCAGAGAGCAGCGAGGCCCAGGTCCTTGTGATGGGATGGCCAGGGCCCGGCCTGCGGGGAGGACACAGCCTGGGAACCAGTCACCAGAGACAGAGGTGACAGGGCCGCTCTCCCGCTGCTATGATGCTGCTTCCGGGAGCTGCAGAGTTGGGGTCCTCGTTTCCTGTTGACCTCGTGTTAAAGCAGAAATGCAGTGTGGAAAGCCCCTGAGGCCCTGCTGCCCACGCCTGGCCCAGCTGTGGTCGCCAGCCCCCCAGCTGCCGGAGCGCGAGGCAGGTGGTGTCCAGACACATCCCGTGCAGGGCTCTCTGCACGGTGCCCTGCAGCTCACTGCCTCACTGGGCCTGCTGAGGATGGCTGGGCCGAGTCCCAGGGCCCCTCTGCCTCCCAGGCTGCCAGGAGCTGCTCTGCATTTCTTGGACAGGCGCCTTCCTGGCCGCGTCCCAGATCCTCTGCTGCGACGCGACGTCTGCTTGACATCTGAGGGCTGGCTGACCCGCGGCGCCTGCCCCTCTGCCCTGCAGTGCCGTCGTGGCTCCTCAAGACTTGAGCCCGTGGGTGCGTCCAGCGGGTGCCCCATAAAGTCGGTGTCGGACAAGCTGCATTCGGAGCCTCTCTCCGCGGCCTTCACCCTATCCCAGGACCCACTGTTCTCTTTTGGTGCGGGTGGGGTGCAGCCTGCCAGGCCTGGCCCCAGGCACCACCTCCTTGTGCTGGGGACGGGGAGTTGGGGGAACATGGGGGGCCTTCAGGGTCCAGGACCCCACTCCTGTGCAGCCACCCCCACAACCCATCCCCAGACAGCCCGCTCAGGGCTTGTCCCAGCTGCCTCCTGCAGTGGACACCCTGTAGCGCCCAAGTCCCAGTTCGGGTGTGAGATGGGGCAGTGTGTGGTGTCTCTTGGGGGCATTTCTGTTACTCTGGCAGACCACGTGGGGGCGCCCACAGAGCGCCACGTGGAGTGGTCACTGGGGACCCAGGAGAAGCTGCATGTAGACAGTCTGGGGCGGTGGGTCTTCTGCTCCTGGCCTCCTCTGAGCCCAGCACAGCCACAGCCACCTGAGTCCAGGGTGGATGCCTCCCACCCTCAAGTGTGGGGACACCTGCAGACCGGTGGTGGGACTGGCCAGGGTTGGCCCCCGCCACTGAGGGTCTGCCTGGTGCGGGGAGAGCCTGGGAGCCCACCTCCATTTCCATCCTCAGACGCCTGTGCTCATCCCTGGGATGCCTGGCCTGAGGTTTGCAGCCATCAGGGCACCTCGGGCAGCGTTTGCTCTGTCCTGGGCCTGGGCCCGGGAAGTATCAGGCTTCCAGGGCTGAGGGTGTTGCCTGGTCCTGAGGAGAAAGGGGCGGGACTGGCCACCCCACCAGCCGCGGCTCTGCCCGACGGCCTGGCCTGGCCACGCATGGGGATGGGGAGTCCCTAGATGCCTCCCGCCTCGGCAGACAGTGTTTCTGTGAGGGAGGTGGCAGGGCCGAGAGGGGAGAGGTGGGAGGGAAGCCCCCTCTGGAAGCTCTTGCCTGTGTTGGTAGCAAGCCCAGCGGCGGGGGTGGAGGCCAAAACCAGACACCAAAGCCGCGGGATCTTTTGGTGCTTTGCGTCGAGTGTCACTCGGAGACCCAGGCTGGAGGGCAGTGGCATGGTCACAGCGCACCACAGCCTCGCCCGCCTGGGCATGGGTAGTCCTCCCACCCAGCCTCCTGGGTAGCTGGGAATACAGGCACATGCCAGCACATTCGGCTGATTTGCTGGTTTTCTGCAGAGACGAGGTCTTGCCGTGTGGCCCGCACAGCTGCATTTGGCCTGGACGGCAGGTCCGTCCAGTTAGGCCCTGGGCTCACGGACAGGCTGCCCTGCTGGTCCCCTGAGCAGCTCCTGGGTTCTAACCATTCTGGGTCCTCTCCATCTCCTCCCACCATGCGGCCTGACCTGGAAACTCAGGGTCACCCCGGTGCCTCCGCATCCCGTGCTGATCCCTGCTGAGCAGATATGCAGCCTCATTGGGGTCCGAGTGAGGGGCGATCGGGCTGGCCATGGGGCCCACGGTCTGCCGCTGGCACTGGCACTGGCACTGGAGCTCTCTCCCAGAGAGAGCATGCCAAGCCAGACCGAGGGCCAGCCCCAGAACCCCCGTGCACGCCCGGGGCCGCCTGCTGTCTCTGCCTATCTCTCCTC